TAAGAAAATCTGTGCCTTGGGGTTACTCTTTTTAGCTTGGTTGATTGGAACACTAAATTTCTGTAGCCTAAGGAGAACAGTAGAAATGCCTCTTTTACTTAAAACCACCAGCAAATAAAAACATATCTGTGTCTGATAACTCTCTGTTCAAGTCTGAGGTGTTCCTTTAAGGCAGAATGCTATATCAACATTAATAACACATACTTACACATACTACAGTGAATTTTAACCAGTTGCTCACTCTCTACATATGGCTTTAGTCTGCATCATTGTAATGCATTTCCGGATCTCTGCACGACATGTTAACAGGGGGTAAACAGTGCCGTGGTTTAACCAGTCATTATCTATCAGATAGACACAGCTCATACACAACATGTGCACATATAAAAAATAAAATAAGGGGAAAAAAAAGATGTGAATAGTGTACGTTTTGTAGGTTTTCTAATAAAGATCACTTTATATGGCTGGAAACCACTGACTCTCTGTCCTTTAGATTTTTGAAGGAGACTTGAAGTCTGGGTCTTTCTTTAATTTAATATGATTTATTTTCAAGCCTGCACTCATTGAAGCTGCAGTGTCCCCCACATGTTGTCATGTCCCACCCACAGACTTAAAACAAAAAGAGTAGCTGATCACACTACAGTCACACGCTCAGAGCGGCATGCAATAATCGACAAACGTCTCCTACATTTTCTGAGAAAAACAAAGATAAAATCTTCTCTAAATGATTTTATTGATCTCAGGCAAACTACTGAAACAAACAGCGACCTATAAAGATATCAGTGCAATTCCAATTTCAAATGTTTCCAAGCATTTCTCCGTAAAACTCAAGCATTGTCAAGGATTTACCGCACAAACCATGTGAAACTAAAGGGGGTCAAAGTCAGAGCTGTGAACAAAAATCAGCTCGGCTGACTCACTGACCTCTCTCAGGTGTCTTATTTTCTTTAATGGGAACCCCTTCCTAATTTTGAGTTTCAGTTTCCCTAAGAGTACTGTCATCACAGTGTCTGTCTTCTGCCTAGTTATAGCCTGCAGTCATTAAACTAGCCTGTACCCATTACCTATCATTTAGATAGATAAATCGATAGATATAAGGATAGATGTATTTTAAAAACGTTAAATAACACAGTGAGTCTTAACAGTGAAAGTGTCTCATATAGTAGCTTTCAAGAAATAGTGCTGGTTGTGTTTTTATAACAGCTACAATGACATTCATGGTGTAAGGGGTTAAACGACATCAGCATTTGTATTTTTAGACACACTGTTGTGGCTACACTTCATCGTCTCATCCCCAAGGTCTAAGACTGTAGTTATGATTAACAGCTATATCTCCTCTCAAGACAAAGCCTTAAAAAACATGGCCTAAGCAGGCTAAGTCCTGCATATGTAGGACTTTTCCAGATTAAAAACACATTGTGTATTGAAACCCACAGAGCTGAACAATGTAGACAGTTTACAGAGATAGCGGAAATATGCATCCCTGTTTGACATAGAGATTATTCTCGGCCAAAGGTCAGTGAAAGCCTGAAACACTATTACCAAATATCTGAAAACACTATCTTCTACCAGACAGCATACGTAGCACATTGATGGAATCGGGTCAATGATCATTCTTACCCAGCATGCGAACCTGTATGGCATTCTGCTCCCAACTTTTGAAGGCTACAGCTCCACACCTCTGTGACAGAGAGGAATAGGGAAAAGGGAAAAGGGAAGGAAAGGCTGACATTAATATTACAAAGGCCAAAAATATGCACACTGCTATCAATGAACTGTGTTTAGTGAAAAAGGAAACTGTGCTAAAAGCCGCAGTGACCCTACGTGTGAAGCCACAGACGGTTTTCACACTGGTGTGCCACCCCTGCACTCTTTTCCCACAAGTCCTCACTTAAAAGTAAGAGAAATGCTAAATGAACAGTTATAAATTGAAATTGAAATTAAACTAAAAACGAACTAAAGATGATCTATCTATTCAAGCATAGCAAATAGCAAATATTTCAAGAGATTTTGGTCTATTTTCGTCACATCAGGACACTTCCTGTGTTGAGTGCTTTGTCAAACTGAAAAAGTAATTTGGGGAAGGAAGGAGGGTATTTATTTAAAGATTATTATTCATCATAGTGAGTAAGAGAGGGTAGGGGCAATCAGTGACACTGGCATCTGTGCTTCCAGTAGGGACATGTCTGTGTTTTGGCCAACAACGCTAAAAAGTGGGTCAGGCGGCATACTGGCATACACTGGCAATGATTTGCGCATTAACCACATGCTTCCACATGGTTGGCCCTCACGGCCAGGGGTCTTTAGTCATCTTTTTTAGTCATTTTCTATCAAAGGTGTACTTGTCTCTAATTTAAATCACATGTTTTTTTGTTTCTTTCTTTCTTTCTTTAATAGTGAAAGATGGAGCAGATAAGACTCACAGTACTGTTCTTCTCAACTCCCACCCTCCAATACCTGATACTATTACACTGTTACTATCGTTATTGGTATAATGGCAAGTTAACACTAAGTTTACAGTTAAGAATTATTTTTACAAAAATGTCACAATCCCTGAGTTTGTGTAATCGTTTTCAATTATATATTCAGAAAACTTTATTCTCACCCTCCAATTAAACTTAGGCCTCCGTTTAAGGCTCTCAGCTCAGATGCTACTGTCCCACTGGAAGTTTTTTTATTTTTTATTTTGTTTTGTACTACAAAATGTCGAAGAGTCCCTTCAAAGTAATATGAATGTCAAAAGATTAAAATACCATGACTGTCTTATGTGTCAAAATTGATAAAGCCTGCTAGCAGTGCCACATCTGCCTGTGTACCCTGATCTGATGTCAGCTCTTGAGTATAATTAAAACCCAGAGCCCTGTGCTGTAGATCAGTCAGACACAGCTCGGTACATTTCCCAATTGAGGTCATCTATTTATAATAGCCAGTAATGGCTATAATAGTTATAATGGCTTGACATCTATGTGCATTTTGGAAACGGGTGAGAGGGGACTGGGTACAATGTGGGAACAAACTACATACACACACACACACATATATATACATATATATATACATACAGTCATATATATATATATATATGACTGTTTTTAGTTTTATATATGTATATATATATATATGACTGAAAGCAGGTACCCTAGCTGACCTGACAAATCATCTGTTATCCATTATTAAACATGTTCTTTCTTTGTTACTCCTTTGGAGGAAGACAGTCATAAACATGTACCTTGAGTAGGAGGATTTACATCTGATTTAGCGCACATTGTTTACCGTCAAGCAGGAAATGGGTGGAAGGAGGCAAACCAGAGGCAGTGACTGTTTGCTCATTCAGCCCACGTGGTTATGGCATGTTTACAGGACACGTCTTGTCATTTTTTTCCATGATCTCTATGCTCACATCATTACTCATTTCATCTGGCCAGCTTTCTAGTTTAATTCTCTCTCTCTCTCAAATGCTTATGACTAACACAGCTTTTCACTCTCCTGTACATAGCGGGGAGTCAATGTTTTGTTTTTGTTGATATTTATCCCCCATCCGTTTTGTGCTAGGAAAACAAATGGCAATTTGAAGTGTTTTAAATTTTTGTTACGCTATGTTTGAATATTTAGCCAATACAAAATGGATGTGGTACAACATATGAATGGTTGCATCTGTAGCTAAATGTCCACTCGGGTACCAACAGGTCAGTGACAGTCATGGATACAGATGTTTGGACGACAAATAGTTTTAAATTATTTAAAACTTTTCTTATATACATCTGACAAATTTCATTAAACCCTGAAGTGGAACATGGTCAAAGAAAACACATATTAAATGTTAATGTTATGTTTCTTCAAAAGTTTTCATGGGCAGGGTCTGTGCGGGCATCACTTGTACTAAGTGATGGATGGAATAAAAGAAATAAGCAGTGTGCATAATGATGCATAATAATGCATAATCAGCACCTATTCAAAATATCAGAGGGCAGAGAATAGTAAACATCAAATCAGGGAATTAATTTTAACAATGACAATTTAACAGAAACTAACCCAAAAAATCACCAGTTACTCAATAATATCATCTACCAGACACTTGCTGGTAGCACTACAATGCCACACAGTCAAGAAGTGGGGACAGCTAAACCATCTTCCCCACAACTGAGTAAGCTCCACGCTACATGGAAAACCATGAGGTGGGTTACAAACTTTTATTGTAAAACCACCCTCTCTAATAGGCTACAGACCCTTTAGTTAGGGTTAGAGTTTTTTTATTTATGAGGTTAATAAGATTAAGGTTAATAATTTTCATGCACCTCTTTACCCATACCTTATGTAAATCATTTATGCATATTCAATTCAAGTATCTGCTTAGACATTTATAACTGAACATCTTATACTTAACATATATGCTGTGGCATGTCAGCAAACACCACAAGCAAACCCAGCCAAAAACAAGTCCACTTCACGTCTTTCCCCTGCTTGTGTGTGGTCTGCAGTGTCCAGGCTGCAGGTTGACTGCTGTAAATCTGTCAGTACACTGACGTGACACATGGCAATAATACACAAGGCCGAACACTGCAGCAAACACGGCGTACAAGACCAAGCCTGCACCAATAAGTCTTTACCCAAAAAAAAAAACCACAAGGTCATTATTGGCTTGCTACATGTCGTGCAAACATTTAGCCCATATGAGAATACTAGCACACTCATCCGGTATTAATGCAACGCCACAGCATGCACCATAAACAGTATTCGCTCACTACAAACTCTCATTTAAGCGCCAAAGACTGTTCACAGGTCGTTATGGTGTAACGGCTTTCTGTCGTTAAGGCCTATTACAAAACAAGTCTGTCTGTTTAGAGGCACGCAGCCGACACAGCTGGAAAAAAAAAAAACACAGTCTACGTACCTCGACCATTAAACAGGACATTTAACCATCGTGGCAGCTCGCAGATGACAAGTGAACGCTACGGAATCAGGCGCGTGCGGACTGTTTTCATGTCACGGGGGAGCTCAGGAGTTAATCGCGTACAGCAGGACCAAAGGTGACAGAGTCCGAGCTGACAACTGTTTTAAAACAACTATTTCATCCTCCTCTCGCGGTTGCCCCTCATCATACTCGCGTGGTAAGGACACTGTGGGCTTTTTAAAAGGTGAAACCGAAGTTGCTGTTTTCCCTCTCCGCCCCTGCCCGCGTGCTGCTGCTGTGTGTGTATGTGCTTGGTGAGCCGCAGAGGGAAAGGAGGGGAGGGGGGCGGGGCGGGTCTTGTTGGGAAAGATCCAATCAGGACTAGGATACAGTACCTGCTCTAATTACGATTGGTCGTTATCAAATAAACAGTGTTTTTAATGTGGAATATTCTAAAATAAGGGTGAGTACTACTACAGGATACTGCACAACACAATAAAGCAATGCAGCCCAACCTTTAGTTGTTTACTGGAAGAAATAAGAGTGTATATATTTTATACTAACAGAGATTTAATAATTACTACACTACAACTACCACATTATTTCACTTTTATAAGTAAATGGATGTCATTTCTGTGTTAACTCTATAAAACAAACGTCCCCGAGTAGTTCGCACATGTTGGTAATCTTAGAGAACAAACAATCTGGTTGTTGCCATTCAGGCCACGTTTAAACACATCAGTCAAAGTATATTTCAGCATGCTGAATGCTGACATCTAGTGGAATAGAAATATACAGAAACGTAAAAAAACTGCACTAAAAGTTTGTTGAAATAATACTTCTTTGCAATAAATCTCATACCACTGTAAAACTTGTTTATTTCCCCTTAAGTGGTGCAAAAAGTATAGGAAAAATACATTTGTGGGTTGAGCAGCAGATTTGAGTATGTGAGTTGCACCCATTAAAAATTTGCCAAAATTTTCTCTGCCATTGCCCAACAGCTTATTCTGCTATTGAGTCTTGTTTTAAGTTTCTTTTTGAGCTTCAGCTGCCTGACTAGCAGCACCTGTGAGCATGGACCCTGCTATAGGGGTCACTTGTTGTCTGCTCCAAGCATGCCATATTTGACTGATCTGGATAGGTCTCGTGCCATAGGACAACTTCAAGCTGGTGTTCTGTGAACACAAGTTGCAGCATTACTTGGAGTGAGCCCAAGTACCATCTCCAAATTGAAGACCAAGTTTCAGATAATGGGAGATGTCACAGGCAGGCCGCAAAGTGGGTGTTCTAAAAAGATGACACCACAGGATGACTGGTTCCTCACCCTGTCGGCACTTAGGAGCAGTAGGCAGTCTTTTACAGATTTTTCAGAATGAGATACTGAGACAATCTGGAAAAGACTGCACACAGCCAATGTCCCAACTCACAGGGCTGCAAGGAGGCCTACTATGACTACTCTTCACCATCAGGCCTGTTTGCGCTGCTGTCAGGAACAGAGATGGGCAGTAATGCATTAGTGTAATCTGATTACTTTTTTCAATTAACAAGTAATGTAAGGGATTACTATTGCAAAAAAGTAATTAGATTACTGTTATTTTCCTATAAGCACGCTGCGTTACTGCATAAACTGTCATGATTTTGTTTGTGAGAGTGTCTCATGACAATGATGTAAGCACGTGCGATGCCTGTGGCAGCAACAGACGTGAGAACGACCATGCAGTGTTTAAAGCATGGAAGTACTTACTTCCATGTAGTTATGGAACTACTTGATTTGATTTATATTTTGCTGTGTTTTACTTGCATCTATTTAAAAGAGTGAGTGTAAACACGAAACATTATTTTATTTTATATGCTGGAATATGCAGAAAATAGGTTTAAATGTTAAACAATTTCTTCAAGTCAAAAACAGCTGCATATAATTAAATTTTTTGCTTAATGCAATGTGCATAAAATTAAAAGATTAAAACAAATAAAACAATTTTTAGAAAGAGGCTTTCCATTTGATTCAATGTTATATGATGGATTATGCAGAGAAAATAGAATTGGGCTGAAAGGTCTATTGCTTTATTGTGTATTATGGTTATGTATCATGTTTTTGAAAAGTAACGAAGTAACTAATTACTTTTGAAAATAAGTAATCAGTAAAGTAATAGGATTCCTTTTTTGGAGAAGTAATCAGTAATCAGTAACTAATTACTTTTTTCAAGTAGCTTGACCTACACTGAGTCAGGAAACATGTGGAGGAACGTTGAGTCTGCATTCTGCCTACAGCAGCTAGATTGTACGTTCAGACTGTCATAGCTTTTGGTGGAGACAGTGTGATCATGTTTGGCAGCATCTCCCTCACTGAAGAAACAAGGCTTGTCATAATTGGAGGCAATCTCAGTGCAGTTACACGTCAAGATGAAAGTTTGCAGCCAGCGATAATCCCATGTCTCTAAGTTCTGGGACCAAAACCTATCCTCCAAGATGACAAAGCTCAGTTTATCAGAGGCTACCTCCAGAATTTAGAGTGGAGAGGATGGAATAGCCTGCCTGCCATCCTGACCTCAAACCCATTGAACATTTGTGGGATGCTGTGCTGTTTGTGCCAGAGTGACAAACAGAAACACATTGACTGACTTGTGACAAATTCTAGTTGAAGAACAAGAAGCCATCCCACAGCACTGTGGAACCAAGCTGGTGACTAGCATGAGAAAGAAGTGTCAAGCTGTTGTGGCTGTGTATGGTTCTTCCATATGCTATTGAAATGCAAGTTTTTCTATGGGCACAATCCACATACTCAGTTCTGCTGCTCAACCCACACACTCATTTTCCTTAAAATGGGGCCCCATTTAAGGGGAAATAAACATGCTTTCCAAATATATAAGATTTACTGCTAAGAGGCATTGTTATAACAACATAATAATCAACCAAACATAAATTTCCTTTTTGTGCCAAGTTAATTTGTATAACAGTGGATTTAAAAAAGTAACAAACATTTCATTATAGCTTCTGAAAGTTTACTGGCACTTTCAAACATTAAATCTGTAAAATAAAAATTTAGACGGTCGTTTGGAGGAAGCAAAACTGAATACACTGACATAAGACACGGACCTTCAAAGTAAAACAGGAAACACACCGACTGAACTTAAGATAAGTAAACTTAGAACAGAGACAGGGGAGACAGAACATTAGGACCTGAGACATGGGACAGGAAGGCACAGAGTACACAACACAGAACACAGGGAAGCCAAAGAACATAACCTAAGAACTAGAACTCAGGAAATACCATAGAACTAGGGAGCTAGAAATACTAGCACAGAAACAAAACTGAAACCTAACAACCAGGAAATATAAAATATAATAGAAACAGAAAACCATAATTCACGGAATTAAACACACCCAAAACCACAAAAAACTGGGTCAAGTGATCCAGGACCATGACAGTTTGTGTCCTGTGTCACTAGTAAGGCTGCTTACTAGTGAATTTCTGTTGTGTCTTTCCTATTAGCCAAGAAGTTACATAACAAGAACACAAAACAAAACAGAATAGTAAATTTATCTGTGCTGTGTTCATTTGTATTTCTCCCTTCTTTTAGCAGAGCTGTCCTCCTCATCCACAAACACCCGCATGATATCAGCAAATGAAGGGATGGCTGTGATTCTACAGCGGGGTTGACATATTAAAGGGCACAACTGGACAAGGTGGGATTACACACTATGGCACAGTGCACAAGAGAAACGGGAGACATAAGTTAATAATAGTTAATAGTTATGAGTACCTCAAAGAGTTACCCATTTTGTGAGCTGTCAGCTGTCTGTTGTTTACAGCAGCAACAGAAGTTACTAAAGAATCCAAAAAGGGGTAATGTGTAACCAACAGCACAACCATTAATAACATTAACAACAACATTCATGTGTTGTTGAAATATAACAGCTGAGTTGAATAAACCAAAAGGTATGATTTAAAGGCCAGAAGGAGAGATAAAGGCTGACAGACAAATAACTTTGTCTATCAGGCAGACAGGCCATCTACTCCCTTTCCCTTGTCACTCTTCCTTGAACTTAGTAGAAAACATCATGAGTTTAAGGAAGACTGTGTAGGAGAATTAACTATCGTTTATAGTTAACTTGTTGTTGAAAATTCAACATGTATCAGCAGGATATGGAAATACACTTCTAAAGAACATTTCATGATCTGCAATACTTTGGCATATTTATTGATTGTCTTCGCGAACAGTGTGAGGGTGCATGGCTATGAATTGTGGAACAGAATTATCTTCTTTCCTGTCATAAAGAATGGTTTCATGTGTCCTCTGGTAAAGAAGTTATTAAAGAAAGCATTTAAGCACTTTTCCTAAAAATTTAGGGAATTTTACCCAGCTCCTTTTATGGACTACCATGCAGATACTACTGGATCACTTTACTTAGAAATAGAAACTTTCATGATATCCTTTTGTGTCGAGCTGACATTTGCTCCTGCGCCTCCCATAACCATCTGCAAAACTCCCACAGTTTGCTTCAAATGCAGGGTTCTTCCTGTTTACCTGCATTCCTGCCTGACACACCTGGAAGCTGCTGGTAATCAGCTCACCTCTGTGCAACTGGTTGCTTTACAGCTGAAGAAATCCCTCACTTCTGGGAAAAGGAGCATAACCTGGAACATTAAGGGAGACATGGAGCAAACATGAGGAGACAGGCTGAGGAGACAAGGATGAAACACAAGGAGAGGAACAAAGGAACAGGTAAGTGAGACAGAGAGGGAGAGGGAGTGAGACACATAGGGAGATCACAAACAGGAAAAAAAAAATCAGACAGAGAGGGAATAAACAAAAACATGACTGGGGAAACATAAACTCAGAGAACACAACAAAATCTCACAGGAACCACAGGGATGAGACAAAGACACAAAAGGAACCTGACTGAAGAAGAAATACAAATAAGCTCAAAGACATAGACTCAAAGAACCAGACTCAAGATTAAACTGTATAAAGCTTGAACTTAAATCATCTTGATAATGTAAAGGAAAGAATCATGAATTCAAAAATAAAAACCCAGCACCCTGACACTTCCTAAACAATTTTCATAAAAAGAAAATTAGTGCTTTTGTATTTTTCATTATTTAAACATAAATTGTGTTTACTTTGTAAAATACAAATATATGCTTTCAACAGAAACAGAAAACTAAAACATAAATTAAAAAAATATTAGGAATTAAATGGTTTTTTAAAAAAAATACAAAATACAATAAATAATAGTTTTGCATAACGAGCATTTATGTACATATATATCTGTGAATAGCATTCATTTGTGTCATGAGGAGTTAGACATGATAGCACGCCAAGTTTGTACGTGTTGACGTACTTACGGTACGTACATGGAAATGACGACACAATGGACGCCATCGAAGTATATGTTGCTGTTCCACATGGCTCACATGTATGGTTGAATTTTAGCCTAAAAAAGTATTTGGTATTATAATATAACCATTATATAATATATTTAACTCCATAAAGCTTTTTTGTTGTTGTTTAATTGCAGGTTGAGTTTAACCTTGTGATCAAAGGCAAACCATCACCCGTTACGCCAAACGAAGACCACGAAGTAAGGTTTTCATAGGGTTTTGGAAAAACAGACCATATCCAGGACAACATGCTTTTCATAGCAGTATGATAGCACTACAATGTGACACGATGTGATATGAATCATGTGTTTTTTGTTTGTTTTTCTTTTCTTGCATTCCAGGAACCGGAACCGATAGACTGGACTACTTACAGTGAACAACCAGTTCCTGGCCGGTAACTTACACACTTTTCTACTTACATTGTCAGTTTGTGTTTATTACATTAAACACAAACTGACAAACTTCATTACATTATTGTTGATCTATATTCAGTATCTGTTTATATACATGCTGGATGTATAACCCTTCCAAGGCAGGCATTGCAGATTTGCAACAGTTAAAAGCTAACAACCTGATTACCCCACATACATATTTTATGAGTTTTTTTTACTCAGAAGTACCACTGCAGGTATTCTTTTGTGCATTAGCAACAAAAACTTAACTTGAGCCTGAGAGGGATAACCTTTTTGTTGAACTAGTATAAACTAGTAGAAAAGTAGAAAACTAGTAAGCTTAAAATACTCTACTATATTAAGCAGAATTAACAGCTTACAATAAGCTTTTAATTCTACATGGTTATAACAATTAATGATAATTCTCGCCACAGAATAGACATTTAATAAACATGTCTATTAGAGGTGGGAATCACCATACATCCCACGATACGATATTATCACAATACTTAACGCACGATACGATATTATTGCAATATTTTAAAATATTTTGCGATATTCAGATTCTGTACATAAAGGTAAACTTTATCAATATTCATTTTATCTAATATCAAAGTCTCGCACTCAGTCTTTCTCTCATTTTAGTCAGTTTTATTGTTGACAAACTTGAACGGTTTGTATTACAGTCTAGTCCAACTTAACTGAATGCAACCATCTGGTACAATTATAGCTATTCTGAACTATGCAATTTATGAAAACTATGCAGCCCATTCAGCAACTGAAGAATTTGAAAGTAAATTAAAACAAAATATAATTTTACATTAAATAAAAAAGTTTTAAACTTAATTAAAATAAAACATGTCTTAAATGAAAATAAGTAAACTGTCATGTTTATTGCTGCCAAAAAAAAAGTTAAACACATTTGGACAGTGAAGGAATGTCAGGATTCTTGCTCAGAAAAAGGAGCTGATCAACATGCTCTGAAGTCAGAGCATGTTCGAGTCCACAAAAACTTTTTTTTGTAACAAAATATCGATTTCTGCTGTCCCTGTATCGATACATTATTAGCAAACAAAATATCATGATAATACACAGTATCGATTTTTTTCCCCCACCCCTAATGTCTATTCTGACATTCAATTTTTAATTTTAAGCAAGTTCCATTATGTACTGTTTAAAAATTAATGTACAACATTCTGTTATTGCCACTGCTTAAATAAACAGGTGTTGTGGTTTATGCATTTGCCTTCATTTCCCATTCAGTGCTGCCGGACCATCTGTCTCCTCCATGGATGACAACGTCATCCCAATGGAGATAGACTAAAAGGTTCAGCATACCAAAAGGTAAAACATTTTTTTAGATCAAGCAAAACTTCAGTTGTTTTTCTTGCAATGCCCTTTTTAAAATTCAGACTCAAAACAAATTCACCCGTAAACATACTTAAAGAACTTCATTATGACAGTTGTGGAATGTCGGATCCATGTTTTTGCATAAATATAACAGACAGTAACACCTTTTGCTTAGTTTCAACTTTGTAAACTCATGGATATGAAGTTAAGTCATAAAGATGTGACTGAAGTAGGCTTTGCAAATTTGGATTTGGAAGCTGTTAATGAGAATTCTTGACCAGAGTAGAAACTTTCAGGAGTGTCTAAATCAAAAATGTAATAACAAAGAAAAATCCTTTATCAACATTCACAACATGGAATATTTTTGGAACTTAGTGAATGTGATGCTGTATGAGGGTTTACCCCAAGATATTTTTCCTAACCCTCATGAACAAAAGGACCAGATTAGACTTTGCTGAAAAACATTTCAAGAAAGACTGCCCAGTTTTGAAATAACACTGTTTAGACAGATAAAACCAACATTTGTAAAAGCTTGTAAAAGAAAGATTAGATTGCAAAATTATAAATCCAGTTAGGCAAAATATGTATTTGTACAATGGCACAAGCTCCACCAAAAAGTAATTAGTAATACATATCAGACTACATAAATTATTTTAGAATTATTTCAAGAAATCCTATAGCTACTTTTGGCCACTCCCTGATTCATCAGAGGGTACTCCATTTTTTATTTAACAGATTTTTATGCTGCATAGCCTTCCTGATGCAACCCCAAAGGAATTTCTGTCACGGGTTGCCGGGACCCAAGATACGGATATGCAGTGAAATGTGAGGGCTTTATTGACACAAAACTCGAGTGATAACAAACAAAAGGAGAGTGTGGCGAGAAACCGAACTTAGACAAACTACACTGGGAAAACGAAAACCTAAACACCAAACCTGAACACGAGAGAAAGCAACTTGTAGGGAGAATTCACAGGATGACGGCAGGAGATTCACAGACACAAAAACACCAAATAACACAGACGAACCAGCAACGAGGATGAGGTAACACACACTATAAATACACACGCCAGGAATTAGGGGATGGGAAACAGGAGGGGAACACACCTGAAAGACATAACAGCTGACGAGGCAGGGGAAACGTAAATAGAACACACTGACATAAGACAGAGACCTTCACAATAAAACAGGAACTTACACATGCAAGGACACAGACTAAGAAACGCGGACTTAACACAGGAATACATGGGCAGAACCGAATAAACACTAAACAGAGGAAGAACAGAACCAAAATCACAATAACAGAAAACACAAAACGCTGGGTTACAAGGACCCAGGATCATGACAATTTGTGTCTCATATTATCTAGCCATCTTTAGTTGCTGCTTGTTTGTGCGTCTCTCTACCTTCAGTTTTGTATTCAGTAACTGAAAAGCTACTCTGTCAGGTTGAGATCAGGTTCACTTGACCATTAAAGAATATCTCATTTCTTTGCCTTTAGAAAATCTTTGGCAGCTGTTGCATTTGCTTTGGATCACTATCCAATGACACCATTAAGCACTGCTCCATCGGTTTTGCTGCATTTGGCTTAATAAATCAATATAAATTAGTGGCTGGGTTCCACTGAGAACCATGCATACCATAACACTGCCTCAACCATGTTTCATAGGCAAACATCCTTTGGATGCTTCTTAGTAATTCCTGTACAGATTATTATTGGTTTCATCTGCCCGAACACGTTTTTTTTTCCTTTTCTTTTTTTCAGAACTGCGAAGGCCCATATAAATGTTTTCTGGCAAAGTCTAATCTGGTCTACCTGTTCTTTATTGTAACCAGAGATTCCTTCCTTGTTATAAACTGTCTCTATTTTACTTCATGAAGGTGTCGCATGATTGTAGATTTTGACAGTGATACATGTAACTCCTAAAGAGTGTTCTTCACTTAGTTCAATGTTGTGACATTGTTTTTCTTAACCATAGAAATAATTCTGTGATCACCCACTTGTATTCTGTGGTCTTCCAGGCCTTTGGGTGTTACTGACTGGGTCAGTGCACATCTTTTTAAAGGAATGAACCAGACTGATTTGGCCACTCCTTTGGGTTGTGTATAAATGGCTTTAATTTCTACAAAAGTTAATGCAATACTTTTGCTGTGAATTAAAGCTATGGATGAATGGATGTATGGAATAAGGGATGCTCCTGATTGTATTTGGTGGCTTTTCAAATATTTATGTATCTGACTATATATAAACATTGTATGATGTTTGATGATGTATGATTTGTATGATGTTCCTTTTTCCTGTTTTGTATTTCTCACAGTGAAAGAAGAGGATGACAGTTCTACTTGGGCTGTTACAGTTGATCCTGCAACAATTTTGGGTCACTGTATTTGGGTCACTGTTCATCTGAATAAAAATATGTATTGGTCTATAGGCAAGATGACTTCTGTCAATGATAAAGGGATTTTGTAAATCCTTGTACTTTAAACAAAAATATCTAAAATATTGAAACATTTTAAAAGCGGTACAATAACAAAACCATACTTCTTTAAATCAAATTTTTTTTTAGCATTGCACAATTACAAACGTGCACTTCCACTTAACACAGAAAGTTTGTGACACACTTGTTTGAACTGTAATTTAAGGCAAAACTCAAAAACATAATTCTGTAATTCTAGTATAACACCACAAGCATGTTAAGTTGTAACAGAAAAATTACTAAAATGTTTCATAGCAAAGTAGTAAAGCTCAATGACCAGACAGCAGTCCCTCAAAAGTATTCTTCAACTCAGGAGAGTATCCAGAGGAGCACAGTTAGAAGTTATTCCAGTGTTTACTGACTCTTGTAAGACCAAAGGATAGTCCTGATGCCCTCTACTCATTGGCATCTGTGTTGTGTGTTCACCATTCTTAATATGGTCTCCCTAGTGGATCCTTGGGTTAGTGTAATGAACCTGTGTTTCACAACGTTCTCCTTTGCATCAACTGAAAACTGAGGAACATATAAGATTCTGGGCCAAAATGTCATTTAGCTGGCTGAGCTGAATGTCTCAGATTCTAGGGAAGTCAGGATACCACTACAAATATCAGATTATATGAAAAGTATCAAAATTATGCATTTTCACCACAGAGAGAAATATCATTCAGCACATTTCTTTCTTATCTCCAAAAATAAACAGACACCCAACCTGTTGATGAAGCATGAAAGAAATATGTTTGTGTGAGAAAGATAATACAAATGTGGCTTCAGAACATGTGATTTTAAAAATTACATTTTTACATATAATTCAGTTTTTTGTTTTTTTGAACAGGTGTAATTTTATTTCAGGTGTCCATAATATCTAAGGCAGCGCGTCAAAATGTCAAGAGGTAGATTAACATAAATTCAATGAGAAGAATGAAGTCTTTTGAGATATACTCACCAGATCTTTTGGGATCCTACGTAGATCAGAGCAAATACTGCATAATACTGACAAGAGAATCGCACTTAAAGCAAGAAAGAACATGGCATGGCAGGATCAACAGCAGGTATCTATAGCAACATGAAATAAAATGTTGATTAAGAAAGTGAGAAAAGAGAAGAAGATAACAAGGCATTCTAAATAAATGACAGTAAAACTGACTATAAGCTGACAATTACTAGCAGGATTTCTATTGTAATGAACATTTTTTTGTGTTACACTGTCATTATTGGTCAATCAGTGTCACTGTGTGTAACCTGTGGAAGATGCAGTGCCAGGAAAAACTAAGCAGCTTCCTCTTATGAGTGTGTGAGAGGTACCCTTTCCAACATATTGCTACTGCCCTTGTCAAATGCATGCCAGTAGAAACTTAAGAGGCCGAAATTGTAGTGTACAGTTGTCCCTTGCTATAACGTGGTTCACCCTTTGCGGCCTCGCTGTTTTGCGGATTTTTTTTTGTGCAATATTGCATACTTTCTTTTTTTTTTTTTACTGTGCATTGTGTTCTGCGTCCTGATTGGCTGTAGACCATTTCAATCAATGTCAAGTTACATAAATCTTCAATCGCTAGCAGTGTGACTCTGAAGAGCTGTACTGTATGTTTGTAAGTTTTCTCCCCAACAAACAATGTCAACTAAACGTTGTCACCTGCGGGTGCCTTCGATTTCATTCTATAATACTGCACTGATTTTTCAACAAGGTTTGAACTTTAGACGGCTTAAACAAGAGAGAAAAGTGTGAAAATGTTCATGCCTGTCTGAGAAAACTGTATAAAGTCTGTTATAAATGTCATAAATTGAAAAATTAAGATAACAACACTTTCATCAGTGCAATTTAACTCTTTAATAAAATAGAAATATCCCGCTAACAGTTGCATAGAATAGAGCTATATGAATCTCAGAATCCACTCTTACAGATTTCACTTGGTTGAGGTAAGAAGGTAGGGCTCACAAAGTGAAACATTAACGCAGGCAAGCTGCACCGCGTACCTGAAACTCATTAAATTATTTGCTTTAAAAGGTGGTTTGCACAAACATATTGCTAAGAACAGTTAAAACAGTTAAGACTCCAATGACAGAAAAAAACAAAACATTTGTGTACAAACCCCTTTGTTTACAGCAGCTTAGAAACATACACATTTTAACATAGTTAGCACATTTAAAATCCCAACAGACACAGAGACAAGCACATTGTAGTCCATAATAAGACAAAGTAAGGACAAGCAAAAACACAAGTCAGTAGCTGCAGTAGTAATCCGCTGTGAGGCACATCTGTAGGAGCTGTTGATGCTGATGTCACTCTTTAATGATGTAACAAGTGGCGGTGTCCCCGACTGCGCCGAGGGGGGTGAGGAACCTGCAACAGAAGAGGTGTCGGGTTAGGAACTCTCCTTAAAGCACATCATCACAGGGGGTGGATAACATTTTTAAACTACTCAAAGATCTAAGCGCATCTATGGAAAACAAACCTTAGGTGACTCAGGACTGCCGAAAGGTGAGAGCTCAAGGGAGTTCTCTTTGTCAGAGGAAGTGTTGTGGCGGAGATGGGTGAACTTTTTCTTCAGTGCTTCAGCAATAAGAGCTGCCGGGTCATTAAGCAATGCCGTACCTCCTTTACTGCGCCTCCTCTTAACTGGTGTGCCCCCTGGAGATCTGCAAAACAGAATGAATATGCTTTGTCAGGTGGGGGGAAAGATCTACTTCAAATTACAGGAAAACAAGCAGGAAACACCAGGGTGCTGAACTACTGGTGCAATGAAGAAAGCATTCTGATATAAAGAGCAGCTTCAGATATAAAGAGTCACATTTTCTAATGATTACCGGTAGTTTTCTCTAAATCTGCATGCTTACCTCTTTACTGAGCGCAGTTTAACATGATTTAAGTCCTTTAGAACATCCAGCATGGAGGGCATCCCTTTATTTTCAGAACCCTTGCTGGAGCCTGACTCCTTAGTCCTGTGGTGACCCTTATCGAGATCTTTCTCATCCTTCCTTTCCTTTGACCCAGTGAAAATGCTAGGGCAGGGAGGAGGAGGGGGTGGGGGTGGTGGTGGAGGAGGAGGAGGAGCCACATGGCGAGGTGTGGAGGTGAGCGCTGGAAGTGGATGGGAAAGGGAAATCCCAGGTGAGGCAGGCTCATTTGGGGATTCAACCAGACCTAAAACACGATGAAAGATAAAACAAGAAAAAAGAAAGAAACACTCGGTTGGTGTTCTGAGAAGATGAAAGCATCTTGAAAAATGGGACAAAGACAAACATATCGTGTACATGAGGCTGGAGCAGCAGTAACTATCAAAGCAATCTGAGCTCGCAGTTTCAGCAGCTCGCTCTCCAGCGCTGTGATCTTCTTCAGAGCTTCTGGATCAGGCGTCTGTCTTACAGGTGGCCCTCCTCTCTGAGCTCGTATGAATGCTGGTTCTGGACATCTCATCACATCTTGATTTACAGTACTTCGCCTTACTGGAGGTAGGTGGTTCCTACGGAGACCCCACATCATTCGTATATTAATTTAGTGTCTTACAGTTGTTTGGACAGAATGATCAATGCTGTCCTTTCATCTTCACAAACATAAAAAGGTAAGATTCTGTGTAAATGCAGTGACATTAATCACATCGAACAAGACTGCCTAATGAGTGAATTTGTATTTTTACTTTTATGGAATTCAGGGATGCAGGGACAGTGATTTTATCTGTGCTGTGTCATTTTTGTTTTTACCTCGTTTTAGCACAGCTGTCACCCTCATCCTCAAACACCCACATGACATCAGCAAAGGAAGGGATGGCTGGTGTGTCCACAATGGGCTCGATATATTCATGGTGCCTATGGCCGAGCAAAGCGACCTGAGGAGACAAGGATAAGGAGGGATTACACGCTGTAAACAAGTACACAAGCGATATAAGGGTCAAGAGATCCTAAAAACAGTTATGATATTAACTTCTTTTCATAGTGAAGCCTTGATTATATTCTATTGCAGACAAGGACAATTAGAGACAGTATAGGTGGTCATTCCTCTTATATTTCCTTAAAGCCCACCAAGTCCACCACCTTAAGCAAGAGGAAAGCTCCAGGGCTGAAAAATGAAGTCAACACATAAGTGCCAAAAGCTGCAGCTCCTCTTTAAGATAGAAAATAAGTCTGTAGTGTAGGGACACAGACTGCTATTATTGTTATTATCAACAACAACATGGACAACTGTAGAATGAATGAATTAAATAGTTTTTAATTAAAAAGACTGATCAGCTGTCAACATGTCAAATGTTACATTGATCAACTGTAGGGTGATCAACCGTCCTCTTTTCCCCAGACATGTCCACTTTTCACGTTCTGTCCGGGGGGATTTTCGAGATTGAAAAAAAATGTCCAGGTTTTCCTATATTCCGACAGAGGAACCATCTGTGCTGCTGCTTTGTGAGTTGTTCTGCGCTTACACACGGGACAGACAGCGCACAGCAACGCGAGTAATAATGTTTAAAAGATCCCAAAGCGCAAATGGATCTTTTCAGACGAACTGCAAAAGAAATTTCCCTCATACCGACCCAGTACTGGTAATTTTTCTTATGCAGATGAGGCATCATTTCTGTACCATTATTTAATTCAAGTTTTTTTTTTGCACTCGTTGACTTGTAAAAGCCTATATGACAATTCACAATTCATTAACCGCACAGAGAAGGCATCGTTTAAATATGTTTCTTAAAGTAAGTTCTTCATGACTGAGCCAAGTGTCCTCTTTTTTGGAAATCAAAATGCGCTCACCCTAATCAACTGCAGCTCTTGATTGTTTTATGCACGTACAAGAGAAATGTATTGTTTTCATTGCAAATAGCCATTTGTGTTGTATATTATATGCAACCGTGCATGCAAGTGTATGTACTCATTTAACCAGCAGTGCTGACAGGGTAAAGTCAAACATATTTTGTAAAACACAGATTGTACAATACCTGAAACTGGACTCGTGGTGTCGGTGTCAGTGGGAGATTTGATCCAATCATCCGCACAATGCTGCGATACTGACCGCACAGCGGACTATTCCACACTGGAACCAGCTAAAATGCACAATGACACAGACAAGACAAAGACATAATGTCACAACATCAGATTTAAAAGTTCCCTGATTCAAGCAACCCGCGGATACCTCAGGAGTTTGAGTATTGCAAAACAAAAGAATGACACAAGTGCGTCTGTGCACATACCACGTCTGGAGGAACACCAAAGTACTCCAGGACGATGCGCAGCACATAAAGAAAATCCTCTGCTAGGGACATTGGAAGGATGTTTTCTTGCACCAGCTGATGACTGCAAAGCTCTGCTTTCTGCTGAGTGTCTTGGCGGGAGGTCAACACAGAAAGGATGTGTCTAAGTCACATGCTTGAAACCTGAAACAAAACAACAAGAACAAAAAACCCCAAAATAACAAAGTAAGATAATGCCTTACAGTAAAAATCACATATGAAACCAACAATCTTAGTAAACAAATAATGGTTCAAATATTGATACTAGGAAAATAATAACAATGATAATGACAATGACTATAGTAATCTGATAATCAGTGACCACCGATTCCTTCATCTGCCACTTCTCTGCAGAGGAAACCCCACGACTCTCAAACCTATAGACGTACAGAGTTTAAAATATAACGAATGAATAGGTTTGTATTGATAACAAAGTAGATTCAGACAGTTAGAGTTAAACATTGGAATTACCAAGGTAAGAAAAACGTTAAACCCATACGAGAATGGCCAGGACACAACCTACAGCAGCAAAATGAAAGTAAGTGCAGCCAACGGTCGGTTGCTGCCATCACTGATGCTCAGAGACAAATGTCGGTCTCTACTACTGGATACTGATTCGGCAGCAAACGCTCAGTGTACCAGCACACTAGAGAGAGCATGGCTGACTTTAGGTGTAAGTTACACAGTGTCCTGCCGTTCTGAGCAGTGGGGGCAGAGAGGCACCGCAGTGGAAAAGCTGCGTGGATCATCAAAATTAACGTGCGTGACACCTCCGGCATTTTACACGATAAAAAGAAAAAAACATATAGTCGCACTTACCGTCAAAACGTGAATTAGCAGCTACATTTCTCCCAAGCCATGTTCCCAGATGATACTGTAAACTAAATGATATTCACCGAGAATCTGCAGCTTCCCTTTTTTCGTTCACGCGTTCAGATTAAAAGGAGTCTGTAAAGTCAAATAACGCTGCAGCAGCGAGACGTCTTCTGGTTGGCTGTGGATACAGAAGTAGTAAGAGCAGCCAATAGGGGTGGGCGACTTTGCGGCGTAAACGGAGGCTAGTCGACCAATCGGGTGACACGAAAAGCCTAGCACCAAATTTGTATTTTTGTGCACGAGCTGCTTCTGTCCTGGGTAAGAAACATTTAGCTACAAAACTACAGTTTAATTATAACTGTGATATATATATATATTTTTTAAAAATAGCAGTTAAAGCGATTCCCCAATATCTGGTTATGAAGATGGAGCGAAAAAAGAGGAAATGTATTTTTTGTAAAGTTTCTTTAGCTTTTTCTCCTAAAGTAGTTAGCTAGCTTCTTCGGCTAGCCACATTCTTAACGGCAGCGTAGCTGCTCGACTTGTTAACATTAATCCGGCCTGTATGAACTAGCGTCGGCTGGGTTTGACACTGTTGGTAGTTTTGAAACATTCATTAGGAATTGTAGTATGACCTCACACCGGACAGTTTTGGGATAGGAAAAGCTATTTAACAGCCGCACGTACTGTACCTAACACTCTCAAGTAGATATTTTGTCCACCACATGCCAAACGTTGAGAATGGCTAACTCCTTTGTAAATGTTTTTCACAGTTAGATAAAGTTGTTAAAGATGATGGATGCACTGTCGGTGGTGAGTCAGCTCCGGGACTTGGCTTCCGAGCCCCAGAACCGCGACGTGATAGTCCAGGATCAGGGCTGTCTCCCTGGGTTGGTTCTCTTCCTGGACCACCAGAACCCAGATGTCCTTTTTGCAACTCTACAGGTATGTTATTGGACGGGATTCAGATTATTTCTGAATTTCAATTAGTTACATAGTTTTAATAACATTAGGTTGTTTTCTGTTTTTAAGAGAGAGACCAGTGAAGGTGAAAGCTTTCATCATTGGGTCAAGGTTGAGCTGGAGCCTATCCAGCTGTCATAAGACTAAAGGCAGGGTACACAGTGGACATATCTATTGTGTGGCAGGACTAAACATAGTGACAAATGTTCATGCTCACATTCAGAGCCAATTTAGAATCGCCTATTAATTAGAACCCTAATTAGATGTAGGATTTGTAAGACAGAATATTTGGAGATTTAAAAGTCTGATATTCCAATATAGTAAGCACTTTTCTTTCTTTCAAACACACACAATGTTATGGGCAGCTGTTTGTTAACTTCTTTACGCTGTACTTCAGCTCTGCTCAGATCCGACTGGCTCCTGTTTGTGATATTCCAAAGATTATATTCCCTGTTAACATATTGCTAAAAGGCAACTTTCCTTTTAGCAGAGTGCCATCTAATGGACAAACTGCTGTTTTACATTTTCATTTTTAAATGCCAGTGCATCAGCAAATAGCTAATGCAAACTCCAGACAGAAAGTGACAGATGGATTTGAACCTAGGACCTTCTAGCTGTGAGATGCAGCGCTAATCACTACACCACTGTGCATCATTTAAAAGACATATTTTCCATGTTTTCCAGTCTTATTACCAATTAAAGAAGGTTTTTAAAGCCCATAATGGGATTTTTACAGTGGTTGATCTTCCTAATACAGCCCTGTCAGGGATTTGTGTCTCCTCATGGTCCCAAAGAAGGAATCTTTGATGTGTTATGTGAAGGTTTAAACCCCCACACTGTGAGCCTTTCTGAAAGCAAAACATAAATGTGATTACTTAGAGGTGACCCATCCACGCATTAAGTATACTTGCTTAATTCCTTGGGGGAGAAAAGTCTTCTGTAATCTATATTATGTGCAGGTTATATGAAGCATTTGAAATGGGTGATATGATACTTAATCTAAAGTTGATGTGCACTGATAATACCACTGTTGTGTCAATGAACTGTAAGCATGGCTGTATATGAATCCCTTCTGTGCTATATTGTCCTCAGACCCTACGTTACTTGGCTGAGTTGTCTGCCAACATCCCCACCATGAAGAATGAACTGGGTATGATGGTGAGCTTGGAGAATCTTATGGCAAGGTGACACACCCATGGTTACTTTTACCTGTGGATGAACACATTATTTCCTTTGCATTTTCATGTGGCTGTATGTAAAATTTACAGTGATACTTGGCAGCTTTTTCAATGCATAAATTCTGTGCCATTTTTTTCATAATAACATAGTTATAAGTTTGTAATGAAGGTGAGGGTTCAGCACCCCCAAAGCACATGATTAAATATAACCTTTCTCCATACAGAGATGGTCTCTCTATTGATATCACCTCTTTGGCCAAGGAAGTTTACAATATTCTCAATGCACCTGCTAATCCTCCACCTGAGAGAAGGAAGAAACCCCAGTTCTTTCTCAATTCTTCCAACAAGAAGGCCAAGTCCATCACTCTGCACATACAGGGCTTGGACAGCTCTGTAAGTCGACTGCTTTTTACATACAGTTCATTTATGTAGCTGTTATAATCGCCAGTAAGTTTAATTATGTAATCTCTCTGTCATCAAGCATCGAGGTTTGTGCGAGGAAGCTCTTCTGAAGGTCAAAGGAGTGATAAGCTTCACTTTCCAAATGGCATCCAAGAGATGTACTGTTCGCATCCGTTCAGACCTGCCCACTGAGGTAACAAGCAAAGACAAACATTTACAACCGAACATTTTACCAACAAAGTTGGGATGCTGTGTAAAATGAAAATAAAGTCCAGTAAAGCCACATTTTATTCACAATAGAACATCAAATGTTTAAAATGAGAAATTGTACCATTTTTAAGAAAAGGTCTTTTTTTTTTTTTAATTTAATGGCAGCAAAGTGTATCAAAGTTTGTGTGGGTGGGGACATGTTTGGGTTGTACAAACAGTCTGATTTTATTAGTTTATGTCTGTTATTCTGTCAAAGCTGCTGAGAAATGCCAAATGCAGAAATTTGTGACAATGAAAAAAAATCCTCTTCTAACGGATCATTAGCCTCACACTCTTCCCTGATGTCCCATTTGCAGAGTCTGGCAACAGCCATCGCTGGCACTAAGGTGTTGTCGGCCCAACAAGTGATAAAGAATGAGGCAGGAGAAGAGGTGCTTGGATACTTGAATATACTTTCAGTAAAGAATATTAAGATATGGAAGTGTAAGTTAAAGTTTAACTATGAATTTGTTTTTTTAAAATAACATTGTCTTCAGGTTTATATTCCTTTGAAATCATCTGGAGTGGATGTGCCTCAAAACTCAGCCCTGCCGGATTACCTCCCAGAAGAAGAGGAGAGCCCTGTGAGGGAGGTCGATCGAGCAATTTCCCGCACCACAGCCAAGGAAGATTCCAACGGTAGCTGGCTCAACGCTGCTGCCAGTTTCCTCACAAAAACATTTTACTGGTAAATCAGTCACAGGGAGGTGCTTTTAAGACTCATTCCGGTGTATTTAACTTGGATGGACATTACTTGTTGTGAGAAACCACAGGTCTGAGTCCTGGCTTCTACTGTATAGTCAGCGTTTCAGTTCTTGTGAGACGGTCAACAGATTTTGGGCTAGATCTCTTTTATTGTTTGAGCTGACTGGAAACTAAAATGCTTGAATCATCTGTCCTCATTCAGTGTAAATATTTCTTTCAAAACTGTTTTTAAAATTTCCATTTCCTCCTAAAATGTACAGAAACTGTTCACAATCCTGACTGCTTCTTTCTGTCCTGTTTTTAAATTGTTGCTGGTTTATGCTACAGAATATAAATGTTGTGCTGTCACTGTACTCTGTTCTGTTTTCTTTCTTGGCTAAAGAGTTTGAAAAACAAAATAAGGTAAAATTACTGAATACTACTACTGATAACCAGTTCAAAAAGTTTTATTCATTTGAAGCAGTACAGCTGCAGCAGTTGTAGAGAGATTTTACTTTTACAATGATTCAGAGAGCTCACCTCATGCTTCCTCTGAAGTAAAGGGCTATATTCAAATCTTTGTGGTAGTAATAAAATATACATTTTTACATTTATAGCATCAAATATAACAGCATGCCATGTGTACTGCTGGTAACGTCCTGCAGTACATAATCAAGACAAGTTTATTCTTTAGTGGTACTGTTAGACAGTGCTCAAGTCTGAGGACCCTAATGCAGATCATTTGTAGGAGCTGAGTGAAAATGAAGTGTAATGGCCCGGTTCTAGAAATTTAGTAATTTCCACCTTTTGTCTTGCCATAGTGAGAAGTGGTATGAATTATGAGTTGTATTATTTATAACTGCGTGACACCAATATTTGATGATTCCTACTGAATTCAAGAAAAGCCACTGGGGAGTTTGGACAAAGGGCCAAAGCGATTGAGCTCATGAAGCAAAGTCACATCATTCCTTCTACACTATGTTAAGGCCAAGGAATGTCATAATTAGCAGCATCTGTCAAATCCTTGGAAACATCCGATTATTTTAACAATAACATCAGTAAATTCATTCAATCCAGTTTGGATTTACTTGGCCAAAAAAGTGGCTTACAGGCAGTGACAGGATGTAGAATAGGTGCAACTGTGACAGGGTTAAAATGTGAATGAATAAAAGGGCATAACTTAATAATGAAGCACATTTTTGTAAATTTGAACATAAAGACAATGACGACAAATCATTTTTATCTGTACAGCAATTTGAAGAAAAATCTCAAGTTTATACCCTACATTTTCAGTTTTCAGAGGACAGTATGTTCATTTTTGTCATTATTAAACCTAAAGTCATAATACTCCAGCACCTGTTCCACCCCAGTAATAACCTAGTTTAAACACTGTAGAAACAGCAAAATATATTACATGACATACCTTTTTTTTGCATTAGTCTTAATACAACTTCATGCACTGATATCATTCCTGTAGCACTCTTTATTTCTCACATTTCTGCAGAAATATTACCTTGTGAGAACCATAAGGTTCCAGTTAGAGACAAAAATTCATAAACGAAGCTAGATTGGGGCCTGAGCTAAAGTCACATCGCTGATCACAATCTGTCTACAGAAAAATAGTTCAAAAACGTTCAAGTATCACAGCTGCTGACTGACAGCTGATCTTAGTTTTTACATTTTTGTCAGTTTCTCATTCGCGCTCTCAATCACGCACATCGCAAGACTATACACACTCAATGCCCTCCTGTGATTTCAGGACATTCATTTAAGAATCAGGGAAACCTGTGGCTATACACAGAACATACATGATGACCAAGTGTAATCATGTTCAGATACAGAAAAACAAGCTTTGCCCCACAGAGTGCAGGATGAGGGAAGAGTAATCTCTCTCAGTGATGCCCTTACAAGATGTTTGGAGACACCATCTTTGGGAACAGTGCTCTTCTGTCACAGGAGAGGAAGAAAGGAAGAATCTAGTGCTGAGAGTTGTCCTACTGATTCAGTCCAACAGCTCTGTACTTCACCTCTCTGTTTCACCTCTCCTTCATGTCCGTGGGTGTGGAATCGTCATGTTGCATCAGGGCATCAGGCAACATCTGCAAATCAAAGGAACAAAGAATTTAAAGCACAGGACATATAATATATTTTCTTTATTCACTTCCTTGTAAATAAAATATGGTCTTTCAACTTGCAATGCTTGAGCTACTATATTGAAAGTGCAATACTAGGTCTTCATAATCTGAATCAGCTTCTTGGTATGAAACAAAAATGATTAAAACAAAAACAAACAGAAAAACAGAGTAGCCTGTAGCAGCGATGAAGCCATGTGAGAAACTTGTTGTGGAGGACTGCACCAATAAGCTGTTCTCAGGTCTGCTCAATCAATTCTGTGCCAATAGCTTATTGGTGTCCTGGTTTCTCTTAAGCCTACTGGGAAAATTAATTGGTCAGTGATGCTTGAAACAGTTCTTCTTGTTATTTTTTTTTAATTTAAAAAAAAAAAGAAAAAAGGTGAATATCTTCAGGAGCTTATTGGTGCTCTCTACAAATGTCCCAGTTTCTCATTTGACCCCATGGGAAAATTACACCTCTACTTCAACATAACTGCTTAGATACTTTGAAAGTCCACAGTGACGTCTCTGTACATGCTTTAATTTACAAGAATTAATTGAAGAGTCATTCTGTAAGACTAGAGTTACACATAAAGAAGAAATATTTGAGAAGATGCATCCCGCCCTGGGTGTCCCGTCCCGGTCTGTAAGACACCCTCATCTTTCAAAGTCCAGCAAAAATTAAATAACTCAATTTTTTGGTCAAATGTGATGCCTCAATCTGAGATACCCCTGATGACATCATTTTGACACTGCTGAGGTTTCTTTCATAGAGCTTGCAAAGAGCCCACCAGAGCCTCAGAAGACATGTCACAAAATTTATAGAGGATATTATTCATCAAGTCAGGTTTGTAAAGACAAGATGCACACACACTAGGAAGGGACCAGAATTAATGACAGTCTCTGTAATTTTATCAAAAGGAAACTAAGGGAGGAAGAAGAAGGGGGTGGGGAGTAATGGGATACAAATGTAGGAACTAGTGGCCAATCAGAGAGTGGATGCCTTCTCACCTGCTCCCTGCTGGGCTGATATATCGTCTACTCTGCTTAGAGGTTTCAGTAGACCATTCTCTGAGAAGGCTAGGACAGGAACTCTGTTGTCCTCCTGCTGTTGCTGTTGCTCCTCCTCTCCTTCAGGGGGAGACAACCTGGAATGTGAAGGCAGTACAAGCACCTCTTCAAACTCCCCATTCTCCCTAAAAACCAAAAAAAAAT